CCTTTGAGCTCCTCGTCCGCTTCTTCGCCTGCCCCAGCAAGCCTGAGTTCTCCCGCAACATCATGAACATCATCGACATCGTGGCCATCATCCCCTACTTCATCACCCTGGGCACCGAGCTGGCCCAGCAGCAGCAGCAGAAGCAGCAGCCTGGGAGCAGCAGCAACAACGGGGGCCAGCAGCAAGCCATGTCCCTGGCCATCCTCAGAGTCATCCGCCTGGTCAGGGTCTTCAGGATCTTCAAGCTCTCCAGACACTCCAAGGGGCTGCAGATCTTAGGGAAGACTCTCCAGGCCAGCATGAGGGAGCTTGGCCTCCTCATCTTCTTCCTCTTCATCGGGGTGATCCTCTTCTCCAGTGCTGTCTACTTTGCAGAGACTGATGACCCCGACTCCCTGTTCACTAGCATCCCTGATGCTTTTTGGTGGGCAGTGGTGTCCATGACCACTGTGGGCTATGGGGACATGTACCCCATGACAATCGGTGGCAAGATTGTGGGGTCCTTGTGTGCCATCGCGGGAGTTCTCACCATTGCTCTTCCTGTCCCTGTCATCGTGTCCAACTTCAACTACTTCTACCACCGAGAGACTGACCATGAAGAGCAGTGCCAATACACCCACGTCACCTGCGGCCAGCAGCAGTCACCCTTCTCTGAGCCCAAGAAGGGAGACAGTAACCAGTCTCTCAGCAAATCTGAATTCCTGGAAGCAGAAGACCTGGAGTCCATGAAATACTCCAACTTCATTCCTCCCAACAGCCAGGGTTATAAGGAGAAGAAAATGCTGACAGAGGTGTGAGCAGTCCTGGTTCCAAGCACAGAGCTGCAAGCTGCTGCACAGCCGTCTTCCTGCTAGCAGCTGGATCTGTTCAACATTGATGTGCCACACTGTGAATCGTGATATCGTAAACAGAATGATGGTGATTGTGGGCTCTTCTGTCCATTTGATGATTTGCTGTTTCTCATGACCATATGCAGCCAGAAATGTTCTTGCTTTATTCTGTGGAGTGGTAGCTGTTATCCCCCACTCCCTCATCGTTTTTTTTCCTGTCTTTGAAGACTGCTTTAATCCAATATTTGCTCTGCAACCTAGCCTTTCTATTCCACTAGTAGAGAAGCCCTTGCCACTACTTCAGCTGAAGGATTCAGCAGGGAGTAAACAGTTAAAGGGGCTATAAACATCTGGCTCAAGCTGTGCCCTTAGTTCCTCTGCCAGCGAAGCGCCCTTAGCTGTGGGATCAGTCATGCCTGCCATGCCATTGCCTTTGAATAATGGAAATGCTGTAGCCAGTGAGTTCTGCAGCTGTAGGGGAAAGTCAGCAAAGCGAATGCCTGCCTTCTCTGCAACCCTTGGCATGCTGAAGATCCTCTTGGTTTGTGTTTCAAAAGAGGTGCATTGACTGAAAAGTTCTTCGCTACTTGTGACTGTATTACCGGTTATCAAAAACAGGCTTGTAGTAGTCAGAAGCCTTGGTGAAGATTCTCTGTGTTTTGAGCTTATTTCAGCCTTGTTTATATCAGTACCCTGATGTTAATTGGCTTTTGTAGTACCAATTTAATCTTCATAGTGGTAAGTGCCTTCTGATGCAAGGCACGTTGGAGCAAATTCATTCGTTATCTCTGCAGTTTATCTCCACACAATAGTGTTTAATGAGATGTACTTTATGCTTCAGATATCCAGTTCTGTATTCAGGCATGTGAGAGCAATTGACTCCACTGTGTTTTTATTGAAGTGTTTGTATAGTTGAGGGAAGTTTGCATGTTGGTATTTTGTTAACGTTGCTAAAAACCCCTGACTACAGGCAGCTGCACTTGCACTGTCTGAAGATTGCACTGCCAGGCATAAATTGCCCCAGGGTAAGGGTGTCAACATAGGAGATTTAGATTGGCACGGATACAGATTTCCCTAAACCATCTGCACAAATCCAACAGCATACCCCAGACCTTTCAAGTGAGGACAGAAACAGCTAGCCTTCAAGAGATGCTTGTGTTGTATTCCTGAAGTAGCCAGTTCTTGGTCTTTCATGGGTAGAAGGCACAGCAGTGTCTTTTGCAAGCACTAGGTTTTATGAGAGCATCTTATGCAGTAATTCAAAATGCATAGCTTGGCCTGCAGCACCAGGTTTGCCAAGAGATCAGCTATTCACACCTCGAGATGCACATTTTACTTCCCAGATTTTCCTTTTTAATCAGCTCTGCCTTACATCTAACTTCAAAATGTTTCAAATGCTGCCAGTGGGTGAGAAAGGGAAATGGATGCTCTGAGATTTGATTGACAGATTTTCCTGCACGGAGAAATCTTTCTTGTTTTAGATTTTAAGTGTACGTTTTGCAATCACACATGTGCATGTGTATGAAAGCAAAGGCAGCCATTAATGCCTTGTGTCATACTGAATGATGTGCATATTAGAATGTACTACATATTGCATGTGACAAATGTCATACATAAAGCAGACATAATATCAAGATGCAAAATATATAGAATACACTTTATGTGTAAGTATATATCTTATACTTTTCAACCGTGAGGCTAAGAATGCTGAAGGCATATAGTCAGAACTGGCTATAGGACTGCTTGTGAGAGGGGATCTGTTTGCATCTTTGCTACTCTGCTCGTTTCTCATTGTCTTGAGATCTGGCCCCATGCCTAGAGTGCTTTTTATTGTAGCCTCTCTCCATCTGGGCTCTGATCATACAGTAAAAGTTGTTTGTGTAAATCCTAACCGCTGCATTTCTCCAGAGTCCTGTTGTCTCCTCAAAGGTTTGTAATGTGCAGGGATCTCCCCTGGGATTGGCACACATGCATTATACTTAATCCTCTGTTCTCTCTCTCTCACTGAAGTCAATAGCAAAATGCTAGTTGTCTCTTTTTCTGCAGGTCAGTCAGGGAGACCCAAGGGTGATGAGGTGAGAGATATATAGCTGAGAGGAGTTTGCCTGAATACATAGGTGCCTAGTTCCTCTTTGGTTTGCCAGGACTGAGGTCTGTGAAGGTCTGGGGCCGTGAGAGCCATTCTGAAGCCTTTGAAGCATGAAAGCAGCTGGTGGGAAAGTAATCCTGGTGAATAAATGGAACTGAGGAAGGATCAGCATAGTGGTATCTCTGTTGCTTTTGTGTTCAAAGTTGTCTCAGACATTGATTTACTTCAGTACATTGCTGTTGCTGTTCTTAGTTGTGTTTCAGGGTCACTAGAATGAAATCTTTTCTGTGAATGCAAGACAGTGACTCTTCTTCAATTTTTTTGGTTGCTTTAATAGATGCACTAGAAACCAGCAAAAGAGCCTGCTGTTTAAGAGGAACGTTTCTAGGTTGCTGCTGTCTCCTAGCAGAAAGCCCATGTTGGTTTATTTTATGCCTAACTGTATCAGCTGATGAAAGTTTTCCCAAAGTAGGGTATAAAAAACTCAGGTTAAGCACAAGTTCAGGAGGCAGCATGAGGCACACTGAGCCTACGTCAGAAAATTCCCCTTCTTGCTTCTTTCCTTGGGCCTGACCCTGTTGCCCCTGCCAGGCAGGAGCCCTTCCTGCTCAGAACAGGTTGTTCTCCCAACCAGTGTGACAGGCAGCTGGGCACGGAGAAGAAAAATGTGTAACAAATGACTGGCAACATAATCCCAGAGTGTCCTGTAAAGATGCTCTTCTAAAGAGATTTCCTGCTCTCAGGTGAAATTCAGCAGTGAGTTTCCAGCCAGTGTGTTGTCTGCACACAGACCTGCATGCATTCACATGCAGACACAAAACTAAGAGGAAGCTTTGTTGCAAACAGACAGCTTGGAGCAGTTTTTTGCAACCCACGTTTTTCAGTTCTGAAAAGAGAGTGCAAATGAAAATGTGTAAAGTGGGAGTGGCATTTGCTCCCTGAGTTTTCTGTGTAAGAGCTGAGAGAAATTCAGAAAGCCAATAGAAGACTGGAAAATAACCTAGGGGCTTTCATTTAGGCATGTAACTCCTTCTCTAAGCATCTCCTGGAAAGCAAAGTAGTCAAGTCCCAGAGTTATAAAAAATCCTGTATTATAGAACCTCTGGAATCTGACATTTTTAGTAAGAAGCCTTTGAATTTCTTTCAAGTGATTCAAGTGCCCTAGTGGCACCCATGCCATTGACTTTACAGTGGGCTCATGTTGCCAAATCACAGAGATGCTTTCAGAAATCTCACCTCAGGTGTGCAGCTCTTATCGCTCACTCTTGGATGTTTGAAATACAAATCTGTCTGTCTGTTCAGCTATTTCCTTTTGAAGGCAGAGCACATCCTCGTGAAGCTGAGTAGGCACCTCCAGGGACCTGTTTCCATAACAACGTCCCAGACTGTTTCTCTCCAGCCTGTGACTTTGACTACTAGCAAAAGCACTCGTTGAATATTTTCAGTTCTCAGATATTAGTACCTTACCTTTACACCTGTTTTCTTACTGAAGATAATTCCATCACCTTATACCGTGTAAAACCGTCCTGTCCAATTTCAGACAGTTAACATAATTTGAAAGCAGGGAGTACAATCCAGGAGATTGGGGAAAAAAAATTGTCCCTATATTCTTGCATACAGAGAGGTGGGGAGTGTGTGAAAGACAATCTGAGCACTCACAGTCAAGGAGCTGAGGGGTAACTGGTCTGTGAATGTAGAGAGTCATCTGGGTGCCCAGTGCCCAGGAATACAAGTTGAAGCATTGCATTAGAAAAAACAGGAACTCCTTTTTTGACAATCTCACTAGAAAAATAGTTTTGCTGTGGAAGAGACTGTTGCTCCTTCCTGAACCCTTGGTTGTTCTGTGACAATCAGTTCCTCAGATAATTTTCCCACAGGATGTTTTGCACCAAAACAGGAGAGGGCAGAAGTCATCCTGTTTGGAGGTAGGGGAGGTAATAAGGAGAATTGTACTGAAGACACCTTCTTTTATCCACAACTCATCGACCACTGTAAGCATCAAAGGCATGAAGAGCTGTATTTGAAAGTCTGCATTACTGGTGGAGCCCTGCCCTTACCTCCAAGATGAAGTTCCTGCTCTGCTCTCGGTTGGAAAATGTTGCCATTTGGGATTTGTGAGCAATTTGCTGTTTGGGCCCTGTTCTGGATCCAGCTTTCGTGGATAAAAATTCACTGCTAGAGCAGCTGTGGGGGTGAAAGTGACTGGACTTGGTGTTCTCTCCTAGGCTCTCCAGCACAGAGAGTTCCCTTTGGGGATAAAGAAGAATGAGTATAAAGAAAATTCAGGGCAGCAAGGGGCAAGGTAAGGACTGAAGTATCTTCATACTGAATGGAGAGAAGAACATCAACACTAAAAGCAAAGGGACAAACAGCACCAGTGGCTGCTGCTATAGCACAAGCAGGTAAGGTTTCTTTTTCTTCTGTGAAATTAACAACGAAGCACTTCTTGCTATTAACAAGGAAAGGGTTTCCTAATTAAGCTTTGCAGCCTAAAGGGAGAATCTGTTTCTATGTGAAAAAAAGATAGTTATAAACTACAGAAATATAGTACAAGCTAGATCTTCCCCATCTGCTAATTCAAGTTGGCAAAACTCCATAGAGTACAACTACCTTGGTTTATATTAGGCTTAAACGTCAATCTTCTGCATCAAGTCAAAACTATTGTTTTGACTATTTGTCACTATTTTCACTATTTGTTAAAATGCTTATTTTTATTTGTTCTTCTCTTGAGGTCCTGTTTACATCAGGGAAGGATCTGCAGATTACAGCAGCAGTTAACCACAGCTTTCCCAGAAGCTCTCATCTAACTTGAGTGTAAGTAAGTCCATCAAATTCAGCAAAATAAAGCTTCTCTTTCAGTTGATATTGACAAAAATAAGAGCAGCAGCATTTTACTTCTTTTTTGTCTTCTAAATTATGGAAATGTGCTGACAAATTCATAGGGAAGTTGAAGACTAAAAGAGATTCTACACTCAGCTGCAGCCCTGTAAGCACAAGATAGTTCTATTTGCGTTTCTGTAACAGCACAGTCTGAGCTCTTCATCTTTGCTCTTAGGAGCTCACACTACACAAA